GAGAGAGAGAGAGAGAGAGAGAGAGAGAGAGAGAGAGAGAGAGAGAGAGAACCCAGTAGAACGGACTGGCTGGCCAGGGAGCTCTGGGGCCACCTTGTTTCCTTCCCAGTACTAGGATTGTAGGCAAGTACCACCAAGCCTGGCCACTAGTGCATTTATTTGTTTATTTTGATAAACTGACAGGAAGAACCTGTCTTGGGTTGTGTTGTTGTAGTTGTTGTTTTTCTGTTTCTGGAAGAAACCTCTGAGAATTCAGCACCTACCATGCCTCACAGCTTGCTCTCCCAGTCTCTATAACACCTTCCATTTCTACTCTATAACAGCTTGCCCAATAGTGAGCACAGCAGGAGCCGTGCTTTAAAGCTCTGTTGAGATTTTACCCTCTCGCTGAACTATTTTGAAAAGGAAGAAAACAAAACCAGACTGACAGTCTTCAGAATTCTGGTGGATGTTTTTCTGAAGGAAACTCCTCCTCCATTTTCATCCTAACTTTGGAACAGGACCTTCTATTTTGTAGTGCACTTTTCAGAAACATTATAACAAATCGGAACTTGCCTTGGGCCTAGATCTGCTTACTCACCAAAGAATAAATCGACTAACTTTTCTATAGCCCCCGCTTGTTCCCAGGCTGCAATAAAGTGACTTTCACTGTTTTTCCTCGGTGGAATAAGGCATTAAAGTGAGGAAAGAAACTTAGCACTTAACAGAACCCTGCTGGCTAGGTATTTTGATGCAGAGATAAACCAAAAAGCAAGATATTTGACATTCAAAACTAAAGAAAACAGACTTTGTCAATGTTAAGTTTGCACTGGTATACAGAGGCATGCATGTCAGGGGGAGTTTTACATGCTGGACCCCCTAAAGTCTCCCAAGAACTGTACTGATAATGCCGCTATTGTCATTGATAAAGGCACAGTACCTTAAGGACGGAAGTCCCACATTTTGCTGCATTTGGAACTCCTTCAGGAAGGTGGGGTTAATCTTCGCGTCTCTGCTGATATTATTCATTATGCGCAGGAACTGGTTAGGTTTGTTCCTGCACTCCGTCAGCAGGATGCGGAAAGCATGTGCATTGTAAGTCAGGTAGCCAAGGGCACAAGAACACGCTGTGCGAACCTAAAATAAAAAGAAACTTTTTGCATGTTTTCTTAATATTTTATTACGATAAAATATAACTGGCCTAAAATTTGCTATTTTGACCATTTTAAATTACATAAGTCACCAGAGTTAATTATATTTATATACACTTTTTAAACATAATTTTGGGTTCAAGTCTCTTTGGCATCCATCTTGAATTTTTAATAAATGTATGGGTTGAGTATGTCATGTGGGTAGCATACATAGAATTTCAAAATAGTTTTATCACAATTTTATAAGAAGAAACTTCTTAAGCAATGGGCTCTGAAGGTTCAGGGATAAATTGCACAAGAAGGGATGGAAAGTGATGACAGAAAACGTGCCTTCTGCACAGCAAGGTAGCTCTGCATATAAACACGGAGTAGTTTCAAAAGCATACACAGTCTGTGCGAGAGCCACCCAAACCAAATCCCAGCAAACAAATGGAAGTTAAGCATACAACAGTTTGTATTTGGCAATTGTGAGCTGCTGGGACAGGGAGAGACAGTTTTCTCTTAGGAATGTAGTCCCTCTCCACTATTGCTAGTAGTGTAAGCTTGGGTCATCCCTGTGGATTCCGGGGAATTTCCTACACCAGTAATCAGGTTGGTGAGTACCCTAACTGTCATCACAGAGCCTTCATCCAGTAACTGATGGAAGCAGATGCAGAGATCCACAGCCAAGCACCAGGCCAAGCTCCGGGAGTCCAGTCAAAGAAAGAGAAGAGGGATCCTGGGAGCAAGGGGGGTTAATATCATGATGGGGAAATCTGCAGAGACGACTAAACCAAGCTTGTGCGAACTCACAAACTTTAGACTGACAGCTGTGGAGCCTGCATTGGACTGAACTAGGCCCTCTGCATACAAAAGACAGTGTGTAACTTGTTCTGTCTGAGGGGCCCTTGGCAGTGGGATCAGGATCTGTCCTTGGTGCATGAACTGGCTTCTTGGAGCCCATTTCCTGTGGTGGGACACCTTGCCCAGTCTTGATGGGGGGGGGGGGCGGCTTGGTACTGCCTCACCTGAATGTACCAGGCTTTGCTAACTCCCCATAGGAGGCCTTACCCTTTCAGAGGAGGGGATAGGGAGTGGATGGGGGAGGGAGGCTGGGGGGAGCAGGAGGAAGAATGAGAGGGGGATCTGTGGTTGCTATGTAATTTTTTTTTTTCTTAAATAAAAAAAAAAGAACGTAGCCCCTGGTCAATCAGCCACACTCCAGTGGAAGACGGCACACTCAGGGTCTTTTGAACAGCACAAACTGGTCCTGATGGGTTTTTAAAAAGGACTCAAAGTTGTGTGGGTGGGGAGTGGGGGGAGTGGGTGAGGGAGAAGTTGGAGAGATGAAGAGGTGAATGTGATGAAAACACTTGGTATGGTATTCTCAAGAAAACTAATAAAAATTATCCAGCCCAGAGCTCTAATTAGCTGCTTTTTAAGAACATGTATGGTGGACCTGAGTTCAGGTCCCAGGACTCACACCAGGCAACCACCTGGAACTTCAAGTCTACGGGATCAAGCACCCTCTTCTGTCCCCTACAGGAACTTGGATTCACATGTACAAACCTACACAGACACACACATTATTAAAAATGAGCCCTAAGATAATTCCTGCAAGCATGAACATCAGCTATGGATGTGAACAGAAATCCATCATCAGGTGGGGCATAACCAGTGCATGCCAGGGCACTCATGCCACTCCCAGGCCTCACCCTCTGCCCATATTTTTACAGAACACTGTTAACTGCCACTGGTTTCTGGTCGCTGCTCACAATATCTGTGAACACACTTGATGTCATTTTAGGATCACCTAGAATATTAAAAAATGAAAATAAAAAGGTTCACCCACTTGCTAAGCAACCAATTCTTATGAGATACTTTCTAAATATTTTAATTATTTTAATTTTAAATTTCTGTATCATCACAGTATATTTATGTATAGAGTGAATATTTAAATTTTAAGTTATATAAAACAATAGCATTTATACATCCTTTATACAGCCATGTCATACTTTGTTCTTATAATATGATGCCCTTCACACATCTGCCTGTCATCCTTTCACAAGGCACATTCTAAATCTCTGTGTAACCCAGATGGCTTAGAAGTAGGAGGAATTCTCCTGTCTCAGCCTCCTGAGTGCTGAAATTACTGGCATGAACTATGACATGAGGTTGTATTGGGAGCCATGTGGCCTAGTTTGGGATCAGCATATGAACGCTTGTCCAATGGGTCTCTGCAGGGCAAGGCCCAGGGAGACAGTCTCTCGCTCAGCAAGGACCAGTGGGCCTCCGGACAGTGTAGAATACTGTCGTACCACATACCCTGCACACTCTCTTCTCTCTCATAATGTTGATGATTTTCTTGGTGGTTTTTAGTTTTACTCCGTTAGTCATGCATGGGACAGATGTAATTATTCCCAGAAACCCTTTTTTTTTTTTCTCAAATATTTTCCCCTAAAATTCTTTGGGAACTGATGCTTTTCGGGTTTCTTATCTGGAAATACCAGTTGTCACTCCAGACCCTGGGGGCCTCTCAGATTCAGTGCTGACAGGGTCAGAGGTAATAAAAGTTACTGGGCACATATACGGAAGCAGCACAGGGGACATGACCACATCTCCCACTTCTGGGAACAAACATTAAGAATGGTGTGGCATGCTGGAAAAAAAGGGTGTCTTATCAAAGTTTACCCTTTACGGAGAGGTTCAGGCATGTAGGACCCTTTTGTAGGACAAGGGACCAATGAAAGAAATACAAGCTAACTGTATGCAAGCAGCTTATGGCAAATCACCCTTATTTTTGTAAATATGCTTTGTTAAGTTGTTGTTCTTCAGAATGTGTGCCTATGTCTATCACCTTTTAGCTCTGTAAGGACAAGATGTGCCTGGCTGGATATTTAGCCAAGCTAGCAAGATACTGAGCATTGTTTTTGGTTTAAGCGTTGTTTTGATTTAAACGCTGGGATAAACATGTTCCTTTTGAAGTATAAATAAAGATGGCTCACTACTTGTGGCCGCCACTTGTGTGAAACTCATCTGGTCAGACTTCTCTTTGCACCAATGCCCCTTCCCCGTCTCAGGACCTGAACCCAGGTGAGGCAGGACTCCAATAGTTTTGTAGATTAAAGCTTGACTTTTATAATGAAAACAATTCATTTCACAGTTTTGTTTTTGTATTTTAGCTCAGAGATTAATTTGGATGGATTTAAACATCTTAGTAAGAATGATGCTAAAGAGTGCCTTCTTTCTCTGCTGTCTGTCTGCTGTGAGGAGACTGATCAGAAGGCATGTATGTAGGGAAAAGGGGCTGGTTAAAGAAACCCACCCTGACCCTGGAGCCCAGAACTAGGGAAAGATGGCACAGATAAGGCCAGTGAAAGAAACACAGTTTGGCTCAAATCAGAGCCATTTCTGCCCCTGGCCGACTGACTTGTGAAACCAACCGATCTTGTGAAACCAACCAATCACAGAGCAGGACAGTAGAATCCTGGCCCTGGGAACATAGCCTGTGTTTGGGACCTGAGCCAGAGAAATGAACACTTTATCCCCAAACCCAGAACCAAGGAAATATGCCCTGACTCTGAAACTAGTGCCAAAGAAACACTCTTAGTCCTTAGAATCAGAGTCAGTGAAAGAAATGTGCCCTGGCCTTAGAGGCAGTGTCAAAAAGCCAAGAAAGGCCAGTGAAAGAAACAGTTCAGCCCTGAAATCAGGGCCATCTCTGTCCCTAGCCCACAAAACTGGCCAATCCCTGGGCAGAAAAAAACTAACCAATCACTGGTTGACTCCTCCCCCAAGATATCCTATATAAACCACCCTGTCTGGTCAGTCGTGAGCTGTTTCTTCACCCTGGTAGAGGCAGCTACTTTCCTGGACTCCTCCTTCTCAAATAAATCTTTCTCAAAGGAGTTTTGGGTGTGAAGATGCTCATTCACTGGTGTAGAGAAGACCCTTGCTGAGGCATCCCTCAGTGGACAGAACAAGGAGGGGCTGAACAGAAGAAGATCCTTGCTGAGATGTCCCTCAGTGGACTGAGCAAGGAAGAGCTGAAAGAGCTGAAAAAGTAACATGTTTCTCCTGAGCCGGAGGAGATTGCTACATTTCTGCAATTTCTTAGGCCAGAGAAGCAGAGCTCTGCTAGGAAGCCGCCTTAAGTGGGGGCTGAGCAAAGCTCAGCTGTAGCAGCTCTCCAAGAGAGGAGCAGGATTGCTACATCCTGCGGGGAGACCATCCCCCATCACACCAGGTATAGCCTGGCTCTCCTGAACAGTCAGGATACCCTTTCCTGCTGAAGCAGTTCCAGGCCTGATTTTCCCAAGAAGTCAGGATACCCTTCCCTGCTGAAGCAGTTCTAGGCCTGACTCTCCCGAGCAGTCAGGAAAAACTTCTCTTCCAGGGCTGAGCTGTCTCTTTGCAGCTCCAGGCATCAGAGCTGTCCTAAGCAGCTCAAGGTGTTGCCTGACTCCTCCAAGTTGTCAGAATATCTTTCCCAGAGTTGCAACAAATTTATTTACAATGTGTGCAAGGTATACATACAGATTTGCTCAGTGGCTTTCCACCCATATACCAACAATGGTAATCATCAGTTTCCCTTTTCTGTGCTGATTTCTGTATGTTTAAAAAAAAAAATCTTGGGTTTGGGATTTAGCTCAGTGGTAGAGTGCTTGCCTAGCAAGCGCAAGGCCCTGGGTTTGGTCCTCAGCCCTGAAAAAAAAAATCTCTCTCCTCTCTCTCTCTCTCTCTCTCTCTCTCTCTCTCTCTCTCTCTCTCTCTCTGTGTGTGTGTGTGTGTGTGTCTGTCCGTCCCCATGGAGACCAGAAAAGGGTATTGGATCCTCTGGAACTGGAGTTACAGGCAGTTGTGAGCCATCGAATAAGAGTGCTGGGAGCCAAACTGGGCTCCTCTTCAAGAGCAATACATGCTCTTAACCATCTCTCCAGCCCCATAGTTTTAAAATCTTTAATTATAGTTGTTCTATACTGCTTTTGTAAGATTGTTTAGATGTCAGAGTTAAAATAAATGCATGCTCACCAGCAAAAAAAAAAAAAAGTCAATGAAATAATTCCTAATGATGTTCTGATATTCTGCGATACTTGTAGACAGGAGTCTAGCATAATTGCCATCAGAGAGGCTCCATCTAGCAACTGATGGAAACAGATGCAGAGATCCACAGCCAAACATTAGGCAGAGCTTGGGAATCCTGCAGAAGGTGGGGAGGAAAGATTGTTGGAGCCAGAGGGGTCAAGAACACCACAAGAAAACCCACAGAAACAACTAACCTGGGTGCATAGGGGCTCACAGAGTCTGAAGCAATAATTAGAGAGCCTTCATTGGTCTGACCTAGGCCCTCTGCACATGTGTTACAGTTGTGTAGCTTGGTCTTCTTGTGGGACTCCTAAAAGTAGGAGCAAGGGCCGTCTCTGACTTTTGCCTGCCTTTGGGACTCTTTTCCTCCCACCGGGCTGCCTCATCCTGTTGCAGGATATTCGATCACACTGTGGACACCAAGACTGCATTATTTACTGCTTCTAGCTGTGGTGTGGCTTAGCCCTAGCACACACCTTTAATCTAAGAGCTTTCTGCTTGAATATTGTGAAAAGGATCAAATAAAAGCCACCTTAGGTCAAGAGGCAGAGTGAGCAACCAATTGAGAGGAAATAACCATAGAGATTAAGAGGGAGTCAGGAGGACAAAGACAGAGTTACACAGGAAGTAGAAGGGAGGGACATCCTGTTGGAGGAGTTTTGTTTGGGATGGCTTGGAAAAAGCTCTTTTTCTGGGATGACAACAGTGGAGGAGGAAGCAGTTGTCTGCTTTCTCTGCCTCTCTGAGCTAGTAGGTTTTCACCCCAGCATCTGGCTCCTGAGTCTTTATTGATAAAATAGAATGATAGAGACTTAGTTGAAAACAACATCGTCCAGCCTTAATATGAGGGGAGATACTCAGTCTTATTATATCTTGATATGCCATTTCAGTTGATATCCCTGGGAGGGCCGCCCTTTTATGAGGGGGGAAAAGGAGGAGTAGATGGGGAGAGAGGGACTGGGAGGAGAGAAGGAAGGAAAATTGTGGTCAGGATGTAATATAATTGCAATTATAATTAATTAGAATTAAAAAATATGATTTTGTGGGAAATCGGAATTGCAGATGTCAGGTATGACTAATACTGGAAAGTTCATCTATTTTTTAGTTATTATGAATTATGTACTATCTCAAGGGAAAAAGCATCCCCTTATGTGAGAGAAACAAATTTCTTTATTTGTAGCACATTCAATTTTACGATTAGCCTTTTGTTTTTACCTCTTCTCTTCCTGAGTACAGGTGGTAGCATAGCCGTTGGACTGTCCCTAGCGTCAGAAAAGCGGCTGGAATACCAGCTCTGGAGTGAGCCAGACTAGCTATTAAATTACCTAGAATTAAAACAAAGAAAAGCTCCTATATTATCTAAAGCTGATAACACATATGTTGCTCTTTGTTCACTTGTACACTGTATTTTTAAAAGTTTGAGCTACAAAACTTGCCTGTTAAATGAAGAAACAAGAAAAAAAAGAACATGTACATGTAAATGTGGAATGATTGTTCCTGTAGTCAATTGATTTTCTGTCACACATACTAAAACTTACACAGGTCTATGTAAGAACGACAAATTTTTAAAGATGGAAGCTTTCTGTTTTTCAAACTTTAAAAATACATTTAGTCTGTTTTTCAGTTGTTCAGCTTTTATAAAGTCTATTAAGCTTATGTGAATAAATGCTTTCCGTGAATTTATGTCTGTACATGATATGCATTTCTTCCAGATTAAGAAAATTAATAGTTGAAAGCAAATATAATATGACATTTCTTGTAGCAAAAAGATCATGAATCAAAATTTAAAACTTCTACTATCACATTTTTTTCCAAGACCCCTTTTTCTGTCTAGTGCCCAAAAGTTTCCACTTGTCTTCCTTTTTAAACAGAGAGACCCCAAAACATGCTTCTCTCATAGAGCAACTGGCTAAGTTAATAATATATTTGATCCTTTGTTTATTTTGCTAGTAGTCACAAACTATCATTCTGAAACTGTTTATGTAGCCATGAGTGGCAGTTCAGTTAAATATTATTTATCACCTATTGCTATAAGTATGGGTAAGCTTGGGTGGATATACTTGCACAGATAACATTTTTCAAGAGAACTAGTAAACCATTTTTCTTTGCTCTATTGTCTTTCCTTCCTTCCTTCCGTCCTTCCTTCTTTCTTTCTTTCTTTTTTCAGAGCTGAGGACTGAACTCTGGGCCTTGTGCTTGCTAGGCAAGCGCTCTACCATTAAGCTAAATTCCCAACCCCTGTATTTCTTTTTGTTTGTTTGTTTGTTTTTTGAGACAGGGTCTCTCTACATAACCCTGGCTGTCCTAGAACTCATTATGTAGACCACGTTCACCTCAAACTCACAGAGATCCACCTGCCTCTGCCTCCAGAGAGCTGGAATTAAAGGCATGAACTTGTCTCAGCAGTTAAGAACACCTGTTGTTCTTATAGAAGACCTTGGTTCAATTCCCAGCACCCACATGATGGCTCACAACCATCTGTAACCCTCTCTTCTGACCTCCATGGGAAAAAGGCACACAGTGACACACATACATACATGCAGGCAAAACACTCATACAAAAATAATATAATAAATTTTCAAGAACTCTTAAATAATAACAGAATGTATATGATTCAAAAGAAACACAAAGCATATCAATGTAAATCGGCCACACTATTGAAAATCAGAGAGTAAATTTTTTCTTGATAGTGCATAATTGAATTTTTATAGTCTAGAAAATCATTAGAAGTTTGAAATAATAATTAGGAAAGCAATAGGGCTGTGTTGAGAGTTTCTGCATTCCTGTTCAGCAAGCAGGGTGGATGCAAGGGCGCGGAGTAGATGCCATACCCATTGCTCTATGCAGACATGTACTTTCAAGCAGCATCATTGGAAACACTGCAACAGGGTATCAGACATACTTTACTATTGTTGAGATTCCAATTTAAAATATTTTTGTGATCTATCTTGGACACAAATCCTTTGTGTAGATGCCATTATGTTTTTTTGTTTGTTTGTTTTTGTTTTTGTTTTCTTAGCTATTCCTTACCTGTCAGGACAATAGTAGGAATGTGGACTGAATACAGACTGTCAACTAAAATAGTAACACCTCTTGCAGACAAAGTAATATGGTCCACATCTATAATGACTTTAGCTAATACAATAATCTAAAAGAAAACGAAACAAAAAAAAAGAATTGGTGAATATTTGATACTTAGATTCTCTTAATCATTTATGATTTGGGGGCATTTTAAGAGGTAAAGGTAACATTTGGTGGGCTCCAATAAAAGAGATTTGATAGGTGGGAGGCAAGAGTTCAAGTACTCCCCCCTCACAAATGCTCATAGCAATGACCACAATGGCCACATTATTCTTTCTGCAGTTTTTGCAGCATTTGACCTTGGGTTTGAAGAGAAATACTTCACAGGGCTGTAGGACAGAGAGCTCTGAAGAGTAAGCATGAGACAGAGAGGAGCCTAAATATGGCTATAGGTGGAAGGAGCCATACCATCACTGACAGCCCACAATAGACCTGTTTTCAACCCAACCCTATGTCTCCACATAGTTGTCATCTATCTACATGATGTGATGAAAACACCTGCCTATGGACCTCACAGGGTCGCTGCAGGCATCAGATGTAACTTGAAAAATTCTATATAGATAAAGAAGCTCTAACAATGGACTTTTTATGAGGTAGAGGGGCTAATGTGCAGAATACCAAATTTCATAAATTAATAAACATTTTTCTGAATCCCCAGTAAAGAAGTGTTCACTAAGACAATGTACTTGCCAGTATGAAATCTTAGGCTCTGTGTACCTGAAACGCTGCCATTGCCTTCTCTGTTTCAACCTTGGATCGAAGAAAAGGCTCAAAAATAGATAAGGTTAGCATTCCACTTTCCAATATTAAGTACTGTTGAAAACGATTGTTGAAGGCAAAAAGAGTTAGTGCATAACCTGCTCTCAAGCAAATGTCCTGGAAAGAGGAGAAATGCCAATCATTTTCATTTGCTTCATCACAGGTTGCTTGCCAGAAGATGAAGGACATCAGAATACTCAAATCCTTCCTTTTCTTGTAATTCTTTCTGTAGCAAGTTATTGTCCATTAAAAATACATTTCATTCTTACCAAGTAGAGAAATAGGACATTGTTGGGGAAAAGTTTTTTAAATAAAAATAATTGCCTCATATTAGCTGTCTGGAGAAATCTCTCTTTCCTGTGCAGCATTTCCAAAGCCTCAGTGCTCTCTGGGTAAGAAATGCGTAATAGGGGATTGGGAGGGCATGCAATTAAGTGAAAGTTTCGATTCAGGACAGAGATTCCACCAAACATTAAATTTGTGAATGTCAAGGAACACATACAGCAACTATGACAAAATCGGAATCGTATTATCACACCATTAGAAACTCATAACAAAGAAAGCTTTTATAGATTCTCTTAAATAATAAGCTTGGATGTTGCCATGGAGAATACTTGATCATAACTGATTGTGTTTTCTTAGAACCATTTCCCCTAGGTAATCACGCTGAGATTTGTGAAGGTCCTACCTTTTCTTTGGAGTGAAGAAGATAAAGGACATCAGAATACTTAAATCCTTCCTTTTCTTGTAATTCTTTCTGTAGCAACTCATTCCCTAGGACGATGCATGCCAAAGAAAATGCCACTTCAACCTAAATATGTGGTTTTCAGAGATTATGCTTCATTCACGCATTACTGAAGAATGTATTCATTATTTAAATATTTATACAGGCTAGATTATGGAAATATAATTATAAAGTGTTTTAAAGCACAATGTGTTGACTATAATTCTTGGACTGCTGTTAAGGAGTAACACAGCTTCTGGAGGACTGTCCCTCATAAATTTTAATGATCAGGAAATACCCATCTCCTCTGTGACCAGAGATCCACACATCTCCTGAGGGTGCTGGGGGGTGTTCCCTAGGGACAGCAATGCATGCACAGAGGTGCTGTCATAATCTTACAGATGTATTTGTATCCCTCCCACATCTAAATATAACGTTTAAATGTTTACTGGTTTAAAAGCTGTTTTAAGTTGCTAATGATCACAGAGCTATCAAACTGTAAAGGACTGCCTAAGAATTTAAGCAAAGTTTTATAAATGTAAAATCAAGGAATAGTCTTTTTCTTCTAGTTCTAGAGTCATTTAACTTGCATTTATCTTCCATTAGGAAGATGAACTGTGTCCATTGCTGAACTTAACAGGCAGCTTTTAAAAGTGCTGTACTGTGCCTTCCTATGGAAAAAAATGTTAAGAATTGGAAATATTCTATCCACTGTAGAGTTTAATTTTCAGGAAAATGACTGAAACTATTTTTGTTATAGTTTAACACCATTGAAAAATAAATTGAATTATAAATGGATAAAAATAGAAGTTTCCCCATGAAATACATTTAAATATAAATATATTTTATATAGCATTTCCATAGTCTTATGAAATATATCTTAAAAGTTTATATAATTTTATTTGTAATTCAAACCAAAAATGATTTGTAGCTTCTGCTTCCCTTTATTTCCCCACTGAACTCTTGCAATAAAACCATCCCTTTTGTCTCCTGAAAGGCCAAGTATCTTATGACATCTTTTCTGATAATGTTTCTGTAAAAGGAAATATTACTATTCACTAACACATTAATCTCCTGTATTTTTCTATTTCTTATATCCTGAGAAGCCAAATAACTTAATAGCTTTTTCTTTTTACAATATATCTATAAAAGGAAGTGTTACTATTCACTAACACATTATTCTATATTTTTCATTTTCCTCATCACTAACAGAGCCCTGGCAAACTATGAGAAGAAAATGTATTTTTAATTTTCTATAAATGTATGTTATATTTTCCTGCTTAGCCACCAATAGAATTTCTGAATTTCCATGGCTTTGGTAAAAGGGTTTGAATTGATGCTGGGTTATTGAAGGCATTTTACCAGTGGAAGAAAGAGTGACTAACTCTGAAAGACCGTAAAGTAATTCACCAGGGAGCACTGACCGACAGCCAGCCCAGGCTATGTTGATGGGTATTCCCTTGTTCTTGAGAAACAGGGCCCTTCTTCCCACCCAATTTTAACAATCACTGAGGAGGGGGGAGCTATTCTCTGAATACACAGTGAATGGCTAAGGAAAATAATTAAAGAGTAAGTGCATAAGACTTTCCTTTCATATTTGAAGAAATTAATATTTACCACATCAATATTTTCTTCTTAAAAGTTTTAGAACTTTGTTTTAAAAGTTAAATTGTTTATGCTTGTAAACCTGCATAATCTAAGTTACAAATTATTCTTAAAATATTACATTTACTATGTCAGAAAACATTTAAAACTTTAATCCATACCTTAATGTTAGTTGAAGGGTGACTTCTTAGCAGCTGAATAAGTACAGGAAAGGCATTCTCCTCCACAACGAACCGTTGACTCATGGGATTGCTTGTGTGGGCCACACCTGTGAAGCTCTCATAGGTCAATGAGGTCATGTTTTTTATTTCATCTTGTAAATTGTAGAGTCAAACTTAGCTTGACTTTGGTTGATAAACTATCTTAAGGTAATATGGTTAACAAATTTTAAAAACAGTGTATATTGACACTATTTTAATACCCCCTTTGATTTTTAATGGGCAGAATGAATAAACATGGGCCATTCACTGTTAGAATTATAGATGGTTTTATAATAAGAGACATAGCACATAAATTTGAAAAATGCTATATTACTAAAGAATAATAGCCATCATTGTTTTAAAACATTATATTCTGGTACCCAAGTTTACAGTCATTGTTTTCTCTTAAAAGTTTTTTTAATCTACAAAAATGACTAATCGCTGAGCTAAAATTTCCAGCTTTCTTAAATTACATATACAAAAAAAACCATTGTCTTTCTTTATAATAAAATAATTCTATATTTTAAGTTGCAATCTAATATCAGGAGAGAACTCAATCTCATTTTTGTGAATATGCATAAACAATTTAATTTTGTTTTGCTAAAGAGTGCCATTACATATATAGCAGTTTTATATACTTAAATATAGTATAAGTATAGTTATATGTACACTACATAGATATAAATATAGTAAGCTTATGTACTTAAATAAAAATACAAATTTAGGCATCTCTGAACAGTGACACCCACATATTGTTATTTGGACAGTTCACATTTGCTAGGCGGGGTAGAATGAACAACACCCATTTAATCCATTTTATTTTCTCTCCTTCACCACCCACATATTAGGACAGTTGTTGTTGGGGGGATGATCAAGCAATATATATATATATATATATATATATATATATATATGAATATTTTTTTACACTGTGAAAATGTGTCTTTGTCAAGGTGCCTTCTGATTTATTTAATAACGAGCTGAATGGCCAATAGATAGTCGGGAAGAGGTTAGGTAGGACTTTCAGGGACAGAGAGGACTCTGGAAAGAAGAAAGGCAGAGTCACCAGACAGACATAGAGAGGAAACAGGAGGTGCAAGATGGAAGAGAGGTAATACCAAGTGACAGAACATAGATTAATATAAATGGGTTAATTTACATTATAAGAGCTAGTAGGACAAGCCTAAGCTAAAGGCCAAGCTTTCATAATTAATAGTAAGTCTCCATGCCATTATTCGCAGGCTGGCAGTTGGGTCAAGAAAGCTTGCTACATATGGTGTCCAATGTAGGGGCACAAATTTCCACATAGGACCTGAGAAAGCTTTTTGAAAAGTTCCAAACATGCAAACAGGGAGCCAGATGCAGCTTCTTAGTCCCACAGTCTCTTAGATGGGCCATGGTGTACAGTGATATAGCTCCCAGTCAATGCTTGTTGGCTTGAGTCAGCCAGCGCCATGTGCCCAATTACACAGTGGGGTTTAAGGCTTGGCTCACAAGGTCAGAAAAGGCTGCAGGTGCTCAGTAAAGTGGTCCAGACTGAGAAAACCTTTAACCAGATACAGTAAAAAAATGGGTATACACAGTCATAGAAAAAATAAATAGTTTAAAATTAATAAATTATTTAAAGAAAGAATAAGTAATATACAAAGAATAAGCCATGCAGGATGGGAAATACACAGGGCATCTGTATCCTGTGTGGTGCTTTGCTGACTTTAAATTTTTTTTTAATGTTGAGAGAATAGCAGCTGCTGAGAGACATGGAATTGTGTAAGGAACTGTTGAATTAAACCAGCCTAGATACTTTAGAGATGTCTTGGTTTCAGAATGGAAATCGGGAAATGTGTTGCATTAGGGAAGAGGTTGTGCTTTGTTTCTACAGGAAGCAAAAAGCTATGGATTCATTCAAAGTTAAAAGAGATCATATTTGACCAGAGGAGAACTCCTAAGGATCCTGGCTGCAGACATGAGGGAGGAAGACAAAAAAGACTACAGAACAGGCGACATGTATGCTGATCCCTCTATATGGGAACAGCTCTGAGACTGGGTGAGATATGATAAATCTTATTGACTACCAAGTCCTCATGACTTATTAGTAGATGTCATCCTTTACATGCAATTGATTGAAGTTTGGTTATACATTCCAAACAAACTTATAAAGTTAACAGATGCCTTTTACTTGCTCAAACATAAAACAAAAAATTATTTTTAGCTGACTTGTACTCACCAAACATTCCATACTTGTGTTAATGCAGATGTATATGTTACTTTTAAAAGTTCATGTGTTTTCAGAACAAAAGAGCCAGACACCATTGAAAACAAGTAGACCAGCTGATTCAGCCTCTCAGAATGCCTGTGTTACAGTTTCCTCAAAATTCTGCATCCTGAACTTTAGGGAGCCGCCATTCAAAGATGGCGCTGACTTCCTGGCAGCCCAGCTGTAAACAACTCCATATATGGCTATGCTCCTAGGACTACGAGTCCTAAGGTCTGCGCATGCGCGAGTATGGTAATTGACTCCATGTCCTCAGCCTATCCCGTGGCTCCCCGTGCTTGCATTCTGGCGGGACCCAATCACAGTATGGCACGTTTGCCTGATTCCCTATATAAGCAGCTGCATTTTAGTCCTCCGGGCCCCTCACCTCCCGCTCTCCCTTAATCAAGAGGTGCTCCAATAAAGTGTGATCTGAGAAGAATCCTCGATTGGTGGTTGTTCTTCCTCGCTGGTCGAGGAGCTCGCCGCACAGAATATCTTCAAAGCTGTTAGCCGAGATGGTCCAGCCTCACAGACTATTCTAGCCAGCACTTCAGATAAGCTCTACACTTCCTCATCACACAGAGACTAAACAAAAAATAATACAGCTAGCTCTCCTAGTACTTGACCATTATCCCAGTTTTCTCAGGGTGTCCTAAAGATGCTGTCACCTCCAGAAAACAGGAAGCAGTCTAGAAAACATGATACCCATATTCTGAAGAGGTGGGGAGGGTGGTTTTTGGTTGTTCAATGGATTATAGATATTTATCATCGTTTGGGGGGTTAGTTACAAGTTGTTACTGATCATGGTAAGAAAAAAAACCTAAACAAAAGAGGTAAGATTCAAGGATCTCATTCTGAAAAGAAAAGGGGGGATATGGGAATGATAGGATAAAAGGTTAGATTATTGAATCTACTTTTAGACTAAAAAGCAGTTACTAGTCTCAAATATTTTACATTGGTATGGATTTTTTTATATTGATACAAATTTAAGGTTATTTTTGTTAGAACATACTCTATATATGTTTCTATATTTCTTTAGTTATTTTTGAATATTGATACAAATTTAAGGTTATTTTTGTTATACTGTATATATGTTTTCACTCTTGTTTAAGGTATTGTACCTATGCAGCTCATTTAACAATGTAATGTAAATTTCTAATCCTTGAAAGTTTTTATTACAAACTATTTAGGATAATTAAGAAATACAGGTTAGTAATTAATCATCTATAGTAAACTTGTAGTCATGTTATGTATGTTTTTAAGGTCAAACATATACTTTAGATAGATAGGTGGTCTTCAAAAACTTTAGAGACATACAGAATATGGAATTTAAGATGCCTTAATAACATAAGGCTTTTCATGGCAGCGAGACACGTCTGCTCCTGGCAGCACCAATTTACTTCAAAGAAGATGATGTGCATTGAACAACCTCCATATGGAGTTTGCTTTCTTGGTGGCAAAAGTTAGCCACTGGGCAGGAAACTGCCCTTGCCTTGACTTCTGACAGTATGCTGTCCAAATTGGACAAGCAGGACAAAAAGATAGCAACTGCTGAACTTTGCCAAGACAAAGGAGGACAGTCCTTCAAAATTCTTGCTTTACAGAAAAGTCTGTCAGCTATTTCAGGCCTGTGGGCTGAAGATGGATGGCCCAACATTGCAGGGAACCTTGGGTGACTATCCAGGCAGGCAGCTATCTCTGTCATTTCTATAGTTTTGGAAGTTGTTTGCTCTGCACTTTCTGTTTACTCAGGTATTATTATATCCTTCTCAGGTCTCTGATGGGGTTGAGGACTAGATAGCTGTAGTTACAATCTTCCATAGTTTTGATAGAAAGTAAATCAGGTACAAAACTTTGGACTCACTAAGGTAAGATTAGATAATGGAATATTCTCTTTGAATTTGCCCAATACTAATAGACTAGACACTGTGAATGTATTTCTTACTTGATCATTGTTTTTATTGTATATAGTTTTACTATGCTAGAGTTAAAACTCTTCCTTTTAAATTAGACAAAAAGGGGGAAATATTGTGGGAGAATTGTTTGCAGTGCCACTCTGTGGTGCCAATAAAGCCACCTTGAATCAAGGACAGAGTCAGTGATTGGCTGACAGGGATTAGCCATAGAGTTGCTGGAGAACTGAGGAAGTTGAATATAAAAGGACAGGAAGAGAGATGGAAGGACTGAGGGGGATTTTGGAGGCTTTTTGATTGGGAAAACATGGAGAGTAGGGTCAGCCCATCACCCCTCCTCTGTTCCTTGGATTTATCAGGTTTTTATCTCAATTTTTGATTTCTGAGTTTCTATTAATACTGGCATAGTTTAGATAAATGTTACAAATATATGTCATATATATATATACTCACCAAATAGCCATCATATATATCATATATTTATGTGCTGTGGAACAATCTTTGTACACTGTAAAGATGTGTTGCTCTCATTGTTAATAAAAAGCTGATTGGCTGATAGCTAGGCAGAATTTTGGGGGCAGAGAGAACACAGGGAAGAAGGAGGGTAGAGTCTGAGAGTTGTGAGCCAGATGCAGAAGAAGCCACATGAGGTTCATAGATAAGGTAAAGGAGCCTTGGGGCAGCACATAGCTTAATAGAAATCAGTTAGTTTAAGTTGTAAGAACTGTCTGGAGACAAGCCTAAGCTATCAACAGAGCATTTATAATTAATAATAAGTCTCTGTGTGGTTATTTGGGGAGTGGCTGGTGGGACACAGCTGATCAGTGGTCTAGATGGAAAACTCTACCTATAAATGGCACCCAAACATCTGGCACCTACATCCACATAAGACTTGAGAAAACTAAAAAAAAAAAAAAATTCTAAACACACAAAAATGTAGCCAAGCATGGCTTCCTAGTCTCATGTCTCTCATGCCAGCCGCAGTACAGAGACACATCCCCCAGCCTCTGTCTGTGGGCCTGAGTGGTCAGCATGAGCCCCACCAGTGCACCATGAGCCAAGCCGCATGGTGGGTTCCCAGGGTCTCTCATGTGGGCTGTGGCACAGAGAGGCGTCTCCTGGCTGCTGCCTATGGGATGGAGCCAGCTGCCAACAGCCATGCACTAGCACCGTGCACTAAGCTGAGCAGTGCCAGCAGCTGGTGCAACAATTTAAGATTCATCTCATGCTATCAAAAATCAATACAGATGCTCAGTAAAGGAAAAGAAAAACTCTAAATGGGTTACAGAGTGTTTAAAAATATGCATAGGCTTGGGAGAGAGAAGAAAAAGGGGATATATACAGTCATAAGTTAAAAAAATAGTTTAAAAATAAGAAAGTCCTCAAAAAAGGAACAAAGTAATAAAAAAATATAATAAGGCATGTAAAGATGGGAACTACACAGAAAGTCTGAATCCTATAGATGTAACCAACTGTCTTATTAAATAAGAAACACAGAACCAATGTAAAAGAGAAAGCCAAGAGGTCAGAGCTCAGAGCTAAAACCTTACCCTTCCTGCAGTACTCCTACCTCTGCGAAAGAGAGTTACTTCCTATGTGTATGTCTTTAAATAGTCTTTGTGTTCTGCCTTCTCATTGGTTGTAAGCCCAAACACGTGACTGCCTCGTCACTGACTGTAAGTACAGCCCTCCAGGTCTTAAAGGTGTATGTCTCCAATGCTGGCTGTATCCCTGAACACACAGAGATCTATGGGATTAAAGGTGTGTGCCACCACCGCCATGTTCTTTCTATGGCTCTAATAGCTCTGACCCCCAGGCAACTTTATTTATTAATATACAATTAAAATCACATTTCAGTACAAATAAAATACCACCATAGGATCCTGTATATTATTGTGTTGCCTTTGAATTTTTTGACTGCTGATGAAGGGGTAATAGCTGCTGAGACATTGGACTATGAAAGCTGCTAGATTAAACTAACCTATATATTTAAAAATATCTTGACCTCAAAATGGAAATCAAAAGGTGTGTTGCTTTGGGACACAGGTTAGGCTTTTATTTCCACAGGAAATGAGAGGCTGTGAATTCATTCCAGGTTGATATGGATAAGGTTTTATTGGGGAAAACCCATATAAATCCTGGCTACAGACATAAAGAAATAAACCTAGAAAAACTACGAAGCATGTAATGTGTATTTTGTCTGCTCAAACATAAAACAAAAAAAAATCATCTTTGGCCAACTTGTATACAACATAGAGTCTATACTTGTGTTAATATAAATATATATGTTACCTTTAAAGTTTTTATATGTTCAGAACAAGGGGACCAGACACCAATGAAAACAAATGGCCCAGGTGATCTAGCACCTCAAAACACCTCTGTTGCAATTTACTCAGTTCTGCATTCAGTACAGCTTCAGGGATGCAAATTGAGATGGTCCAACCTCACCAACTACTCCAGCCAAGACTTAATCATTATTGTAAATTTTTTTTAGGATTCCCCAAAGATGCCAGAGTCCCCAGCCAGCAGGAAGCAGTCTAGAAAAAAAAATGCCCATGCCCCCAAAGACTGGTTATGGATGTTTGTCATCATTTAAGGGGGTTGGTTACAAGTTGTTATTGGTCATAGTCAGGAAAAAAGCCAGACAAAAGAGTTAAACTCAAAGATCTCTTTCTAAAGGAAAAAAGGAGGAGGGATATAAAAATGATAAGGTAAAAGGGTAGATTATTAAATCTACTTTAATAAAAAAATCAACTATTAATCTCAAAATATTTTACATTGGTATTGATTTTGGTTTAATGATACAAATTTAAGGTTAATTTTATAAAGCTCAATGTATGATTCTACTCTTGTTTGGGGTATTATGCCTATACAGATCATTTAAAATGTAATGTATAATTAAAAATACAGGTTAGTAGTTATCTATGGTAATCAAATTTGTAGTCATATTAGGTATATTTTCAAGATTAAACAGATATATTTATATAGATGGCCTTCAAACACTTCAAAGACCTATAGAATATGGCATTTAAAGTGTTTTAATAACATAAGGATTTTCTTCTTATTTAGACACATCTGCTCCTGGAAGCACCAACTTATATCAAAGAAGATGATGGGCATTGAAGAAATTCTGTAAGGAGTTCACTTTCTTCATGGCCAAAGCTAGCCATTTGGGCAAAGAAACTGCCCTTGCCTCAGTTGCTGACAGTATACTGTCCAAACTGGACCAGCAAGCAGGATGGAAATAAAAGTGACTTGCCAAACTTTGCCAAGACAAGGTAGGACAGTCCTTCAAAATTCCTTGCTTCTTAGAAATGTCTATCAGATATACTAAGCCTATAGACCAAAGATGGATACCTCAACATTACAGAAGAACTTTGAGTTACTGTCCAGGCATCAGATGTCCCTGTCATTAGGTAATATTGCAACATTCTGGGGTCTTTGATAGAGTTGAAGACTAAATAATTAGACTTAGCATTTTCCTTAGTTATGATAAAAGGTAAATTAGGTATAAAACTTCAGACTCACAAAGATAAGATAAATAATAGAATATTTTCTGTAATTTTGCCAAATACAAATGGACTGGATATTGTAACTGTAATTCTTACTTAGTAACTGTTTTTGTTGTATATAATTTTACTATGTTAAAGTTAAAACCTCCCTTTTTAATTAGATAGAAGGAGGGATGCTTTGGAACAATCTTTGTACACTGTAAAAGATGTGTTGCTCTCATTGTTAATAAAAAGCTGATTGGCCAATAGCTAGGCAGGATTTTTTGGGCAGAGAGAATGCTGGGAAGAAGGACGGTAGAGTCTGAGCATTGCAAGCCAGATGCAGAAGAAGCATGGGAAGTTAATAGATGAGGTAAGCCAGCCTTGGGGCAGCATATGAATAGAAATGGGTTAAGTTAAGTTGTAAGAGCTGGCTGGTCATAGCCTAAGCTATTTGCCAAATATTTATAATTAATAATAAGTCTGTGTGTGGTTATTTGGGGAGTGGCTGGTAGGACAGAGCAGATCTGCAGTCTAGATGAAAAACTCTATCTACATGTGTGTTAGTTACCATTCACTAGAATTGTTTTAGTTATGTGAATGTGTCTGTGTATGCTCATGTGTATGGGTGCCCCCACAAGCCAGCAGGAGTTACAGGCAGGGTGCTGAGAACCAAACTCAGGTCCTTCGGAAGAGGAACAAGCTCTCTTCACCACTGAGCCATCTCTTCAAGCCCCATTTACTAGAATGTTCTTAATAACTAGAACGTCTGTCATACATTCCAACTATGAAAGACACATTATTTTCTGGATTGTTTATGTCTTGGGACAGTTAATGAATTTCTTCAGGTATTGTTCATAAGCAGGAAATAAAAGTGGAGCTACTAACTTCAGTATCTGGGAACTTTTAAGAAAATACAGTCGCCTGGAATGACAGCCGCGCACAGAAAGCCTCGTTTTCTCTTGTTTGCAAGCCGTAGTCCACAGCCTCCAGCAAAGAACCCAAATGTTACTGATAGGTCAATCACTAAAACCTCTGCAACTTTTTCATAGACCCAAAAAGTCAATTCTTTTGTAACAAAGACCACTTTCTATAAGCAAACAATTATTTATTTATATCAATAAACTAGAATTGAAAAAAATGTAATTGAATGTTAACATTAAGAAATTTATGACTCTACATCTTAAAATAAATGTAATTCTTTTCATTTGAAATAGTCAGTGTTCATTGTTTTCATTTTCTATTCTACTCAGAATTCAAGAGCAAGGCAGATGTGACATTCTTAATGTCACCACTTTGACTCACCAAGGCCTTGGAGAAACCATTTATAAATCTTTGAGGTCTTTCATGGTGTGAATAAAGATAAAGAAACAAATTTTCTACTTTTCTACCCACGTCTTATTTTTTCTCATCATAATTAGAAAATTGAGACTTCATACAAACCAATACAAATGGATCCCACTGCTCTGATGACGCTCAGAAGTGTGCCTTCGGCTATCTTATTAATCCTCAGTAAGCGAACCAGAGGTGCAATGCCGTTCCCTTCACATATTTGGTTTTGATGAATTCTGCTGTCCTTGCTGAGAGCTATGACTGCTTCACCTCCTGGTAAAGAACAGTAAGAGGTGGGTATGGATTTCGGTGTCTACACCAGCAGTCTGTATTGAGGTTACCTTACCTACATACTGCATCTTAGCTGATGGAGACAAAAGCATGTTTATTATGAAGTTGTAGCCAATCTGTTCTGCCATGTATTTCTGTTGCTTCAGGGTTTGTCCTGCCAAAGCCCAAAGTGCTACGGCTCCTTGCTCCTTAACATCTATTTGAAAGGCCTATTAAGACAAAAACATGCCATTCATTCAGTGAATGTGTTCAGAACACATCAGGGATCTATATTTTTCATAAAGCATGCATTCTAGAATTTGGTTTGATTTTTTTCAAATCTGCAAATAAAATTCAAAATGAGGTAAATCATCTAAACCGTTGGAAGGGTAATGATAAAATCCTTACCTTTAGAAGTTTCAGGAGATCTTTAGTTAATTTTCTTTCCAGAAATGCCTTCTGGATGAAAGGATTGCAATTCGCCAGGGATTCCACAGCCATTGCACCTTTCACTTGGACACTGAGCTGCTTCCCTTTGAAAAGAGCCACCAGGGGAGGAATAGCCCCTTGCATTGCTATAGCATCCTGCACGTCCTTGTTGTCACGGCCGACCTCAGCGATTGTGGCTGAGGACACTGCCTTCAGCGCATCTTCAAAAGAGTCAAGAGTAAGTACACCAGTCATCGAAAACGTTAATCTAGCACATTTCAGGATAGCTTCCCACAGTACAAAGTTAAATTCATAAGTTCAAAGAAAATTTAGAAAACAAAAATACAAAAAATAAACTGTCCAGATTCACCATTTAGATTTTATTTTGTCCACTATTTCCTATACAGATACTTGGGCATATTTAGGTAATTATAGACATGTTCAATATAGTTGTACTGCAAATATAATATTCAGAATATTTGTTTACCATTGAAATATTTTCTCCACACTTTCATGAACATAAAAGTCACAAATGCCTTCTAAATACTGCATCAATGGTTATATCACATTTTATTAACTATTCACACTTTAAAAATATATGTTGCTTCAAACTTTTTGCTGTTTTAAGTAATTCCAAGAGAAATCTTCTTAGCATGTAGGTATTTATCAATGCATTTTTTTTCTTTAGGTTGAGTATGGCAAATTACTGGAATAATTCTTTACATTTCAGTAAACTGCTTTCTAAAGGAATCAGTAGCATTTTATTCTTTCATAATCAGAGCTCAGGTATATCAATTTGACTTTCTCTTCTTGAATATAAATGTTATCATTCAAAATGAATACATAAAACTTGATAATTTGATCGACAAAAATGATATTTCATTTTATTTTGTTATAATTTACAGACAGGTTCAAAGAATGAGTGAGAGAATGCATATACTTCACCTGCATTTGTAAATTTAATACACTGCTACATTGATTTTATTTATTTATTTGGCTACAATTTAGTTTCACTCTATCTATCTATCTATCTATCTATCTATCTATCTATCATCTATCTATCTATCTATCTATCTATCTATCTATCTATCTATCTATCTATCTATCTATGTTATTTTGCCCTGGCTAGCTTGAAGTTCACTATATAGGCCAAAATGGCCTCAAACTCACAAAGATCCACCTGCCTCTGCCTCCTACCTACTGGAACTAAAGGAGTGTACCACGATGCCAGGCTACAATTTAGTTTTCTACATTTATGTTGAGAGCATGAAGGTCCTTGTGCCCACAGATCACCAGAGAAACCAGGAATGTTAAGCACACTGGATTGTCCTTTCAAAGGAAAAGACTGAGAACTGGAAGCGCCTGACTACCTGGTGATCTACATTATCTGTAGGGCCAGGGTGTATTAAGCTCCCACAACCGGGACTAGAGGTGGCTAGTAGTCCAAATGACCCTTACATTATCTGTATAGCCAGAGACTCCTAAGCTCCCACAACCAGGACTGGAGGTGGTGAATAACCCAGATGACTTCTACATTATCTGTATGACCAAGACCAGGTCAGACCCTTACTTAGGCTCCTAACCTAGTACAGGTAGATAATCTCTAGAACCCATCTTCTTGGAAGAAATCACATGTACTTTGAGTTGAGTTTAATGTAATTATGCCTCCTGTGCATCGGGGATTGTATTACACCAGGAAACTTTTTCCCCAAATTGTACTGTGTTTAAGAATGCTAGCAATAGACTGCCTGGCATCGGACTCCTGAAGTTTGAGCCAGTCTGCCTGACCAAGATGGGCTGAACCAAGTTTTCCTTCTTGCCTCTTGATGGATGACTTTGCTGTCACCGTGATGCCAGGAGGGACCCACACACATTTGAGGCTCTGTGTAGACATATAGATAATACAATCAGTAGATAACAATGCTGTAATCATATTATGTCTGGTATTCTGTAATGTCCTCTATGACTCTTTTCTCTCTCAGTATAGAACCAAATGGAGAGCATGCATTTTATTTGTGATGTCTCTATACAGCCTATAGTCTACAACAGTTCTTTTGCCTTTCTTTAACTTTGCAATTTAAACCTTTCAAGTGAATATTAATTGTTTATCTTAAACCTCAGTTCAGGTTTAATGTTTCTCATGATTCAAGATATGACCTCCATCTAGAACATTTAAAAAGTGACATCATATTCTTTGACAACAGTTTATGTAGTGTTAAACGATGCTCATCTATTTTCATTAGGATTGTTAATTTTGATTCCACGGTTTAGTTGCTATATTATTTAGTTGCCAGTACTACCTTGATTCTAATGAAAAAAACCCTGCACTTTAATATTGTATAAATAATATTACATTTAATGCCTTTAATTCCAGCACATGGGAGGCAGAGGCAGCTGGATCTCTGTGAGTTCTAGGCTAACCTGGTCTACCCAGTAAGACACTGTATCAATAATAACAATAATAAAGTCTTCATCAAGATTTGCCACCAAAGTTGGGCAGAAATTTGTATTTTTCCTCTGAAACAATCTTAAACATTAGTTTGCCAAATCAACCTTTCCTTCTCAAAAAAGTAAAGTAAACATATAAAGACCACAAACCAACTTTGATGCTATTTTCTTAATACTCTACAACTGAGCAACCCAGTCCATGGCAAAAAGAATTAGTTGTTAAAATGCTGAAGTTATATGTAAAATCTACACACAGAGAAAAAAATAATTGAAATTTTAAATTTAAATTCTTCTTACTCCTTAAGGTAAGAGAATAATATAGATTCCAGTGTAGGAAAACAATGCTTTTAGGTAGGTGTTAGATCTAAAAAGGAATTGTTTTAAATATTTATTCCTATTACTTTTTGTGAACTCATTTACTTAAGTTACTGTTATAATGACTGCTTTTTATAATATCTAGAATGGTCAGGGCAGTTTTAATTAATGGTACAAACAAAGTAAGATGAAGACTTATAAATAAAATTGATGCGGTTAAACTGTGCACAGAGCCTCCCCTCTGTGCGGCTCCACAAAAAGAGCACAGTGAGTGGTGTAGAAAAACATGGAAAGCTCAAGGGTTGGGAGGGAAGCTTTGAGTGTCTTTGCTACATGGTACTGATTCTTAGAAAATGAAACTTGCTTAAGTTGAAATTCTAAACTAATGCAAGTTCTCTGCAGCATGACCCTTATCCTTGGCTTGTCTTTTAACCAATGTTTTTATTTCGTGTTTATTCTATACTTACATATGATGAACTTGGGCAGAAGGACAGATGACAAATTAATAGGAACAAAAAGGGACACATCTGTACCCATGTTTTTACCCTTAAAATGATCTGTTCATACTGCTATGTGTGTGCACTGGGATGGCATTGTTATGAAAAGCAGGTGATCCTTTGCAGCTGCTGTAGAAGCTGTCTGATACTTCCTGGGATCCTGGGACTGAGGTGCACTTTAGAAGGCTTAATGCTTGCTGATTGCCTTGAATTTTGATATCAGATGTATAAGAGCAAGTCTGAAGATCTTGATGTACATTGTAAAATAGCTTCCAATGATCAAAATAAATATTAATTTATACGAGGAGAAATGTCCTCCCTAAACATATTATTTGCTCTATTTTCATTATTCCTGCTTATATTTTTATTTATGCAAATGTCTGGTTAAACATTTTAATATACTTTGGGGAGTCAATTATTTCTATGAACTTGGCAGTTTTAAGTTTTCAAGATATTTGGGTTATATTGTGTGCAAGGATCCATTCAAAGATAAATCCAAAATATTTGTTCATAGACAAATACAGATCATGTCTGCTTCATCTGGTAAATCTGGTCACTCTTAAACAGACAAGTTGAGGCTCACCAGAATCAGAACTCAGAAACCGGATGAGGTACTGGATACCATTGTGGTCTCTCATGGCTCTTTGGTTGCTTTCATTTCCGATACATAGCACTCGGATACAGTTCATTACGTTCACCAGCACGCTTTCTATGTTCAGGCTCAGGAGATTTATCAGAGCCGGGATTCCATTCTAAAAAGGGATGTGAGTTCATTTAAGATTGATGCAATTTCGTTTAAAAGCCTGAAATCTTCCTGCAAACATTCTTATTTAGTAGAGGACATCTGTGTGTAAACAGATGCATCTAGTGATGCCACACAGTAAGTTAAGACAACTGAGTAACTCTTATCCAGAAAAATACAATATTATTGCAGAACTAAGTTAAACACAAATATTCATTTTCTGACCCAATAAAATGGAATGGCACAGCACAGCCTAAATATACTGCATACATAGAGGAATTTTACCCTAGTTCTGGCTAATTGCCAGAACCAATTAACATGAGATTTTAAGTAGATAAAACTAAGTAACTGAAATTGGACTTGGATATAACTATATTTCCAGTATATTTTCTAAAGGATTGATACTAGACACAGCAATTAAAGTTTTTTAGAGAAGTTTTAAAAAATGTACAAAGGCAAATGACACAGAAGAGCACAGAGGCAAGAGAGAACAAACATAAATGGATTTCCACCACAAGGAGACCAAGGTAGAAAGCATTAAGCCCTACAGGAAGGCGCATTTTATAATGCAGATGGTTCAATTCATATTGAAGAAGCAGCTATATGAAACTGAAGAAACTTCACTTCACTTGTAAACATCTAAAGAAAGATCTTAAAACATTAGTGGACACAATAGGGCAGGGTTTTTGGTTTGTTTTGTTTTTGAGGAAATAAAGCATAGTAACAATTGCTTGGTGTTCAGCAAACGCCATTTTCTTCTAATTCTTTCTGGTACATAATTAGGATGTATTTCTCAGACAGAACTAATATCTTCGTGTAATCGTGAAACAATCAGTATATATTATGAAAAATGCTCCATCTTCTCCCCGGGGCTACTCATATCTGAACTCTTGTCAGTGCCGAGCATTAGGCCCCTTGGGCCAGTGGGCTACAGACCTCCTACATGCCTGCTGCTTGCTGACGTGTTTTTCCTAAACACCCCCTCTCCTATAGCTGATCATCCCTAAGAGTTTGCTGCTCTGTAACAACACAGATCTCCAGTTTCTATGTGAAAGGATGGCTGCCAGCCGATGCTGGGGACGGCATATAAGATGGGTGACGTGCTGCCAGCAGAGATTGGAGAAAAGGGGACCCGAGATTGTGGACTATCAACCCTCTGTGTGTTCCCCTCCGGATCTTGTGTTTAGCATGCCTCTAGAGGGCCAAGGCAGACATGCCTACGTGTCCCAAGGTCATGCTTTATGACGTGCACATGTCATGTCCTCCTCCATATAAATATTTCTTGTGATGCTAGTCTTTTCCTTCTATCTGATCTTCATGTTATGTGTTCTTAGACCAATGGTGATTTCTGTGATGCAGGAAAGGAGTGAAGTAAATTTCACAGGAACTTATACAGAGATGATCACCCAGGCTGGGGTTAAGGCAGTTATGTAGTTCACGGAGAAGAACCTGCAGCCTGGAGAAGCTTTTCAGGCTTGGATAAACTGTACCAAATGTGTGGTCAACTATAGCACATGGTATGATGTGTATCAACACATTGGACTTAAATTGGCCATGATGAATAATTCAGTTTCTGAGGATATTCCAAGGACATTGTGTAAAACTTGAGATCCTAAGGGGTATTGGCTGAGGACTGTGGATGGAGTAACATATAGATGGGATGACAAACTAAAGTGTGGGAGCCTAGAATAGGAGGAGAATAGTGGTCTCCACCAAGAAAGGGAGATGGCAGCTTTAATCCAGATACTTTTTATTCCTCCTGAAGGAGTGTGGAGATAATGTGACAATTGATGGAGTGATTGCTACAGGCTTTATTGGGTTCCTAGATTGAAGAGCTGCCAAGAAAGGTGAGCTTCCTTTCATAGAAGCTCTATAAATTAGATTAAGTCTTCCTTGGAATTGTTGGATATAGAAGGACAGAAGTTGCTGACTTGCAGGGACAGATTCTTGTCTGAGGTCACTGTGGCCCACCAGTCATGGGGCTTGGTGTTTGCAGAGGGCTGAGGAGGAACTTAGGCGGCTGCAGCAGGGGTCTTGAGGTCAGAGCAGGCTGTGTGAGAAGGAAATGACTGTCTGGTACTTATTTTTACCTTTTTTTTTTTTTTTTCAAAATTGCATGTTGCTAGCCTTTGGGTCACATGCTCAAAAGATTGTATAATCATTAATAATAAAAATAGATTATGCTTTCTTTGGTGTTAAGTCTGGGATAGTTCCTGTGTTTAGTAAAAGATGATGAAGAATATATTGGTGATTTTCTAAGAATAATCTTTGGAATCATGAGAACATTTTGTATTGGGTGATTTCCCCTTTTTTTCTGTTCCCCCTTTTCTTATGATAATAAAAGACTGAGGTCACCAGGGCAAAAGCAGAAGCTAAAGCAAGAGAAGTTAGAGAAGCTAAGAGAAACTAAGAGAAGCTAAGAGAAGCCAGGGAAGAAAAAATAAACTTAGCAACTGCAGAAGCCCGAAGTGCCCTGTCAGCTTGCATGAACATTGCCTCTGAGTCGTTATTGCGCCTTCCAGGTATCCCATCCTTCAGACCCCCGAAACTGCTGAGGCTGGTCCCCAGCAAGTCGAAATGATGTTTTATAAAACAGTAACTCACATATTTGGAGATAACATCCTTGTTTTCACACTTAGCAATATCGTACAGAATGACAGCACAGCGGGAATGTAGTTCGGGCTCATCAGAAGCCAGCAGGTTGATCAAAGCAGGGATGCCTCCTGCCTCCACCAAAGCATGTACTACACTTATGTGGGTTGAGATATTACTCAGTAACCCAACAGTTTTACACTGCAGTTTTATTTTGGGACATTTTAACAGATTGATTAAAGCAGGAATGGTGCCTGTAAAGATAAGAATGAAATGAGCATTAATTTTTCAAAGTCAATTATAGTTGATTTATCCTAACAATATTGAAATAATGTTCATGGTATGGCAATATAAATAATTACACACAGTTCTACAAAATACAGAATAACAACTTGAAGTGATATGGAAAATAATTTTGTCTTATCTACAAGATAGTGGCTTTTGCTGTTTGCATATTTAATTTCATATAACACATGATCATACACTATATTAGTAAATTCAGGCCATCTTTAAAATACTGATTTTTGTCCTATAGAGTTGATAATTCATTATGTAGACAGAAATGACAGGTGATGTTGCTCTGTATGCTGTGAATGTCTTGTTCTGATTGGTTGATAAATAAAATGCTGATTGGCCAGTAGCCAGGCAGGAAGTATAGGTGGGATAAGCAGACAAGGAGAATTCTGGGAAGAGGAAGTCTGAGTCAGGAGACACCAGCCCACAGTCCAGGGAACAGCATGTAATGGCACACAGGTAAAGTCACGGAAAATGTGGCGACATAGAGATTAACAGAAATGGGCTGAGTTTAAGTGTAAGAGCTAGACAGTAGTAGGCCTGAGCTGATGGCGGAGCCGGTTTAATTAATATAAGCCTCTGTGTGTTTACTTGGGTCTGAGTGGCTGTGGACCGGGAAAAACACAAGAAAACTCCAGCTACACAGAAATCCACTGTGCAGTTCTTCCTGTCTTGGCTCCCCAAGTGCTGGGATCAAGGTGTGCATCACCATGCCTAGCTGATAAAGGCTTCGAGGTATCACATGGTAAAGTTCTGCTGTGGGTACTGACTTATCTTTGTGTGGCAGTAACTGTTTAATTATTTGAATATGTTATCATACATTATCTTAAACCAAAAAGTGAAAAAAGTACTGATCTAGTCAAATATAACAGTAGCCTTATTTATTATAATCAGTCATTGGGCATGGTAAAAAAAAAAAAGTAGAAAACTTGGCTTTAGTTGAATGCATGCTGGGTTTGTATCAGTTTAGTTGAGAAGAAACCACACCATAGAAGACACACAAAGTTCTGAAAATATGAGTATAACTGAGGCTCATTTATTTATCTACCTGAAATGAAACCATCTGTTGTTGACTCTTTGGGGACATTGAGCTTTTCCAAACATGGTTTTAATGAGTTAAGTAAAATTAAGCATGTTCATTCATCAATATCCATGGGAAATGCATGTCTCAATATGCACATTAGGGAAGTGGGCACCATACAGACAGTTCAGACATTCCCATCACTTCAGAAAGTTGTGGAGGACAGTGCTGCTCTCAGAACAAGTCCATGGCGTTGACCCATTTGATTAGCGAAGAAACTAGGCCAGAGAAACCATGATGCAATTTCTACATGCAGAACTACTTACAAACCTGGTCTGCCATGTTCTTCTAGTTTTCAATTTAAAAAACAAATTGTGCAAGTGTAGAACTGGAATAAATTATAAATGAAAGTAATTATAGCAGTACTGTGATGGTTACACTTAACTATCACCTTGACATGATCTAGAATCATGCAAGAAGAGAGTCTCAGTGGAGGACTAATATAGATAAGGTTGACCTCTGAGCATATATGTGGAGGAAGGTTTGGACTGCTAATGTTAATTGATGTGAGAACTCATCTACTATGGGTGACACCATGACCTGGGCAGGGGATCCTTGACTGTAAGTTTAGAAAAAGGGTCGAGCACAAGGAGGCAAGCATGCATGCATTCATTTCTCCCTGCTCTCAACTGTGGATATGTGTGACTAGTTGATTCAGGTGCCCACATCCTTTACTTCCCTGTTATGATCGATTGCACCTTGGAACTCCAAGCTGAAATAAACAGTTCCTCCCCTACGTTGTTGTTTGTCAGGGTAGTTTATCATAACCAATATTAAACTAGAACAACTAGATATTATACTAGAACAGCTAGTATACTAAAGTTCTTTTTATTACTTCTTAAAATTTCAAGTTTTTAGAGAAATAGATTTCCTCTAAAATATACATAGTTTTTTTTGACCATGTACAACTTTTACATGAAAATAAAATATAAAGTTGAAAAAAGTGATCTTAGAGAAAAGAAAAAAGAAACTTAAAATCAACTAAAAGTGTCTGTTTTAGTTAAAAACATATTTTGAAGTAAATTAGGATTGCACACACTTGTAAACCTAGCACTCAAAAGCTATAAGGCAATGGAACTCACAATTGACACTGCCAAAGTGGCCAAGACCCTGAGATTAGATAGGTCACGGGCCTTAGGGGAAACCTACCATTATTCTTCTGCTAAAACAACATAACAATAAAATGACTCCTAATGATGTTCTGCTTTACTCATAGATCAGTGCCTCACTCAACCCTCATCAGAAAGTTGCTCAAGGTAGATGAGAATTGACACAGAGGCCCACAACTGGACAGTGCGTAGAGAGTGAGAGACTTTAGAGCACTCAGTCCTAAAAGGGATGTCTTTATCAAGCCCCTCCCTTAAAGGCTCGGGGCTCTGTACAGAAGAGAAGTGGAAAGATGGTTAAGAACCAATCATCCCTAGGCAAAAGGCCGTCTACATTGACACCCACTGGCAAAGGGAAAAATCAGTTTCTCCAGTGGAGTCTTTCTAGGTATATCAGAACCGGGAATAGCTGGTCAACACAAAAAGAACAAACCCTCTGGTGTTTCTGTGGAGTTTTTGTTTTGTTTTCTTTTGTTCTGAGATTTTTGTCTTATCAGATTTTTTCCTGTTTGTTTTGACTTAGTTTTATTTCTTGATTTGTTTTTGTTTCTTGGGTTTTTGTTTTGTTTATTTGTTTGTTTACAGAGAGAACAAAAACATGAAGTTGGGGTGGCAGGGAGGTGGGGAGGACCTCTGAAGAGTTGAGGAAGAGAAAAACATGATCAAATATATAAATTTTTAATTAAAAAAAAAGGCTGAGGCAAGAGGATTACAAGTTCAAGGCTAGCCTGGGTCATATGTGTGACCCTGTCTTGAAAAACACATGCATGTGCATGAGCATACACACACACACACACACACACACACACACACACACACACACTTTTTTTAATATATGTATGTATGTATGTATGTATGTATGTATGTATTAGTTTAGTGGTATAGTATGTGCTTTGCATCTGATCCCAGAATTAAATATGTATGTCTATGTTAATATTTGTGTATTATATACTATATATAATATACTAAAATTATTGACCTGAATATAATATAGCTCTACTTAAAACATGACAAAAAAAGATAGTTAATGTATTTTGTTATCACCTGCATCCAAAATATATTTCCAGTATTGATCATTTGCTAAGCAAACTACTTCTAAGGACATGACAGCCATCATCCTTCGCTTGAAGCTTTCACACTGCAACATTTCTGAAAAGTATTCAACAGAAAAACACAACTGTAATTCACAGCAGAGGCAATGGAATGACTGATTTTGTTGTCATATAGGTAAAGCGAACAGAAGAGTTGAGATCATCCCATCATGTGCTAAGTCCCCTCTGTTTGTGGTTCTCTGAGGTGCTGGATAGATTATCATGGGCTAGCTTGGATCTGGAGTGGTCCTCAAAGGTCCATTTTCATGGTTTAGTCACTGGCTTGGTGCTATTGGAAGATGATGGGAACTTTAAGAGGTGGAACTTACTGGGAAGTTGTAGATCACTGGGGGAAGTATCCTTGAAAGGGACTGTGGGATTCCGTCTCTCTGTTTTTCTACACCTCCCGTGAGGCAAATAGGCCATGGGCCTCTGCCACTGGCTCCCATAACACATGTTATTACTTCATCACAGTTAATCCTGTGAGTTCTCACAGGTAAAGTGCTCTCTACAGAAGTTGATTATCTTGGGCATTTGTGACAGTAACAGAAACGAACACAATATGCCCAAGATCTCTAAGGTTTATAGTATATATAGTTACTGAAAAAGAAATTTTAAATTATTTCTTTGGTCTGAATGACTATCATTGCCTAGAAATATAGTTCAAATTCACTAGAAAAAATAATACATTTCTCATGCACCTACCATTAATTTTAAATAAAATTTGAGTAGGAGATTTTAAGATGGCAAAGTATACTACATAATCAATGAAATTTTAACAGCCATTAAATTAGATATGGTGCTTTGTACATTTCCTGAAAGTGATCAATATGATTCTTAAAAATTGAGCATGAATTTGAACTCTAAACAAAGGATGAAACATTATGTATGCTTCTAAATAGTGTCTTGGTGTGAAAAAGCACAGAGCTGTATCCTTACTTCATGTCATTCTCTGGCCTGCTTTTCAGAGCTGTCTCAGCTCTTGCCTAGACTGCTCTGGTTTAAATTTCAGCTTCTACTCCAAAGGCTAACTAACCTGCTTCTAATTAGATGAATTTTACTCATGGTGGAAATGGGCAGGGGAAGGAGAGAGAGCTATTTCAAGGCTTGAGGCAAAGCAAGAAGCAACATGCTTTCTGTTTATTATTCTGCTGGTGTCATTATTGAGTAATTATGGGGACTTTCTAACTATGGATACTGCAAGTAGTGACCCCTGCAAGTGAGCTGTGTCATTAAGTCATTCTTGTCAAGAGCCAGACTTGAAGGTATTTATAATGGATGTCTGTTATAAGTAAAGTTGATCCTCACAGTCACTTTTTTAAAAGATTAAGATGTGAAGACTTATGTGCATAAAAATAAACACCAAGACATTTCCCAGCAGCTCCTTGGGTTGATGTACCCAGGAAATGTCCTCACTACTTAACAAATGCCAAGATTGATACTGAGACCGTTTCGAAAAAATAGTTGGATATCATTTTTTAAAAGTGTGTGTGTATGTTTGTGTGAATATGTGTTTTGTGTGTGTGCAATCATGTGCATTTTGTATGTGTGTATGTTTATTGGTGTTTGTGTGAACTGTGATTTTTGTGTATGCATGAATGTACATTTGTATTGGGGTGGGGGGTATGGAGGTCAACTTTGGGTGCCCTTCACTATTTCTTCTCTACCTAAAGTTTTGGGACAGAGTTTCCCATTGAACTGGGGGTTCCTCAGTTGGCTGGACTGGCCGGCCAGTGAACTCCAGGGACTGGCCATCTCCCGTTTTTATGGCTGTCATGTCCTCCTTGTTTTCCCCTGAGTTTGTCTGCTGCTGGTATTATTTAATCTTCATGCAGTTTTTGTGGGATCTTGGGAATGAATAAATTTCCACATATACATTAAACTGATCTAATACCTCTACCTATGTAGTTCTATCTAGATTAAGCACAAAGCTGGAGAAAATCCTCAAACAATTTTGCAAACCCGAGTGCTAGCATTACACAGAGGCTACCATGCCCAGGGTTATATGTGTGCTCAGCATCTGGATTCAGGTCCTTATGCTTGCACAGCAGGTGCTTTACTGAACCAACTCCCCAGCCCGAAGAATCAAACATCTTAAACCACTAGAATCAGGTTGGAATATTAACTGTGTCTTACTCCATCGGGAAAAACATTAGTTCTCATTCTCTATCTCTTTTCTTTTTGCTTTAATTTTTATTTTATGTTCATGACTCAAAGTTATAAGCAAAAAGTACCGACAGCAACATACCGTGGTTTTGCATCCACTCTCTCCACTGCTTTGGGTTCACTTCTCTAGAAAGCAGTGTTCTGAGACACTGCTACATCTTGCTACCTTGGCCTTGTGTGGTGATACTTTATTTGTGCACTCCAATAAAGCTTATCTGGGGATCAGAGGGGAAAGCCAGCCACTATATTAAATATAGAGGTCAGGCAGAGGTAACACACGCCTTTAATCCTAGCATTCCGGAGGCAGAAATTCATCCAGATCTTTGTGAGTTCAAGGCCACACTGGGAACAGAGCCAGGCATAGTGGCACACGCCTTTAATCCCAGTGCTAGTTAACCATAGAGGTCTGGAGGTCTGTACAGACAGACAAGAAGTAATAGATTTGGGTGAAAAAAGGAAGTGATATAGCTGGGCGGAGAGAGGAAGTGAGATGGGAGGGCACAGAAAAGCATATAGGTGTGAGTATACAGGAAGTAGGTCTCTTTGAAGGCCAAGGAGTTGGTAAGGTGAGGTTGGCTGTGGCTTGTTCTAGTCCTCTGATCTCTCAGTTTTCACCTCAATATCTGGCTCTGGGTTTTTTATTAATAAGGCCTTTTAAGATTCATCTTACAGCCTTGAGCTTTGTTTATGGCCTCATGTTATGGAAAATGGGGAACCAGCTCATGGTGCTCTGCCATTTCCTCTTCTTTCTCTTTCCTCACATTTCCATTTCCATTGCTACTCAAATCAATACTTAACACTGTCTAGACAAATATCACTCTCATCTAGTGACATTGTAGTGACCCATGGTGTTGTCTCACTTCTCACTGTTATTTTCCCTACTTGAGATGCACCTTCTCAGTTCTCACTGATTCAATGGCACTTTCAGAGCTCTGCCTTTTCTCAAGGCTGGGCCCACAGCTCCACTCTGGAACATGCCTTGGCTGTGGTCCTGGAAATTCCGGTTGCCTGTCTCTCCAAGGAGAAGGCAGCCTCAGCACCTGCTGGCGTTTCTGACTGGGCCCTGGGGAGCGCCCTGTCTATTCTCCAGCTTTGTGAGGACTGTGAGGTTTGAGTTTGAGAAGTTCTCGGCTTTCCTAACGTGGGCTTGGGATTCTCTGGGAGGCTCAGTCTCAGAGGTGCCTGCTTGGTTCCTTCTTGTTTATCACTGCCCTCCATTTTCCCTTGAACCTTGACTCTACTGCTGTGTTGTTTAATCTTCGTGTGATTGTAATGGGGATTGAGGAAGAAGTGAATTTTGATATGTATATTCAATTGACTGAGTAACCCTTACCCTTGTTTTTCTGACTAGATTGAACACAAAATTTTGCATAAAACATTCTTCTAAATGTGCAGGAAGACTTTTCTAAAGCTGCTTTAGGATGAGGAGTAAGGAATGGAGTGGAGGACATTAAGCTTTGCTGCTTAAGTGTTGTGTCCTCCTTTCTTTCTGAATTTGGTTTATTGTGGAATATTTCTGCATATTAACAGAGAGATTTTCTGACTTCTAATAAAGTTGGAAAATAAATATCATTGTGTAAAATATAGCTCATTTGGGTCACAGATCTCTGATTTTAAGTTAGAAATCAAACTACTTTTATACACCAAAAGATAGTTCCCCTTATCAACTGAACTATTGTTGGTTTTAATACATAATTTTTATTGCACGATCTTTAATTTTTTGAATATGCATATTTTATTTTATTTATTCCATGTCAGCACACCAATGATCATATTATAGAATAATCAGAATGTTTATGATGAAATCATATGTTCTATACTCACCTACTAAAGTTTTCCAAACTGGAAGTTCAGGGATATTCAATTCTATGATATACTTGAGTACCTCTGTATGAAAAGTGAGCACTGACAAGTGAATGATATTGTTTCCTTTCGTGTCTGTTTTTCTCCAGTTGGCACCGAGAGAGAAAAGGTACTGAATGGTGTCTAGTGCTCCTGAAGTTGCGGCAAGCAGTAGTGGGGTACACTGATTCCTACGAGTCAAAGACACAGTGTGACAAGATTATGCACACACACAGCACCACATTTACTTCTGTTGCTGAAGGAACTCTAATCCACGCCATCACCTTGTCTTCCTTCAGCGCCCCATTCTCCACATTCCACAGACGTGCCTCCCTGCCTCCTTCTCATTAGTCATCCCTGTCCTCTTTCTCAATTATTATGATTTATAATGTATTTGGAAGTTGGTACTACACAACATCATTAAAATAAATTAGTGGACACATAATCAGGTATTATCAACCCACTTTACAAATATCGCATAGGCTTAGTAGTGACCAAACACATTTTTTAAATATTTTATATCCAATTCCAAATCCCAGTCTCCTCACTGAAAGCTGACTGTGTGTTGCTTTAGACAATGAAGATCTTTGGGTTCCATCTCCCATCTCCCCTCAGAGGTAGGTAGGTGACGTGCAAACAGCGTGTCTACAGGACGGTAGTGGGAGCTGCATGGGCAGCGGTGAAGAGGAGGGTGTGTCTGCTGCTTCCTCTCTGTCTTGCTGCTCCATCTATTATGCAGACATGATAATGGACACGGGAGCTGCTGCCATTTCATGCTACGGTGGGGAAGCCATGAGTTAAGGAGCATTAAGTGTCCTTCAAACCGCCAAGCCAGTGTGTAAACAAGGGACAGGGCATTTGGAGACTTAGACCACAGTATCCGTACAACAGGTTCAGAGAGTCAAAATGATCACCTGGTCTTTAGATTCCTGGACAAGCCTAAGGAAGAATGTTCACCCTAATTATGAAACAGGAGACTTTGGCAATGTTTTCTGCTTCCAACTTTTCTTCTTTTTGCTGCTGTCCTCTGTGGTGATATTGTGTTCCCCAAAATATTGTGCACCCTAATAAACTTATCTGGGGTCAGAGAACAGAAAAGCCACTAGATATAGAGGCCAGAAAATGGTGGCACACACGCCCTTAATTCTAGCATTCCAGAGGCAGAGATCCGCCTGAATCTCTGTGAGTTCAAGGCCACACTGGAAACAGCCAGGTGTGGTAACAAAAGCCTTTAATCCCAAGAAGTGATGGCAGAAAGCAGAAAGGTATTTAAGGCATGAGGACCAGGAACTAGAGCTGGGTTAAGCTTTCAGGCTTTCAAGAAACAGTTCAGTTGAGATCCATTTGGATAGGAACACAGAGGCTTCCAGTCTGAGGATCAGCTGAGGAACTGGCAAGGTGAGGTGGCTGTGGCTTGTTCTGCTTTTCTGATCTTCCAGCATTCACCCCAATACCTGGCTCTGGGTTTGATTTTATTAATAAGACCTTTTAGGATTCATGCTACAGTCCCCCTGTAGATACAAGCAGTTATTTCTGCTGTGATATGGTTCTGTCTACTTTGATCTGGAGACAGAGGGCTACCTGCTGATTATATAGGAGACAAGAGCAACACTCTCTTCCTTAGTCATGTGGTTAGCCTAATAAACAGATCTGGGAAGCTGTGTTATTGATACAACAGCTAAAGAAATCCCCAGGACTTACTCTTTACTCCTCTAGGAAACACACACAGGCAGATGAAAGCTCTGGTCTTCACGAATTCTAAGGCTAAGCCAGAAGAGAAGAAGATGAAGACCAGAGAAAACATCAATGCTTTGCTACCTTGCAAGTCCCCATACCAATGATGCCTGGTGGTAGTCAGGAAAGTAGAAGTTTATATATAATTTTACAGATGCTCAGTAACTCACTCAGCTGTTGCCTCAGCCTCTAGCAAACTCGGATCCTTCCTGCAGAGTGCAATGATGATGCAGATGTTATCGTAGAAGGCGGCAAAGTGGATTGGCATCCAGCCTCTTTTCTCAGTGAGTGTGTAATCAGCTTTGAAACAGAGTAGGCAGATGGTCGCCTCCAGTGAACAGGCTTGTGCGGCCAGGTGTAGAGGTGTGGGACCTGAGAAGAATAACAATTGCTTCAGTAGTCAGAGCTAGCACTCCTAAAATAAGTAAAGATTAATAAGCACGCAGCTTAGTGTTATACAATATATAAATTCTCCAAAATAAGAACTAAAACAATCATTTGGGCAACCTTATATTTTTTTGCTTAACTTGGAATAGCTAAAGGAATCATACCTTTTTATGAGCAAAGAAAACATGCATCTACTTTTTGAGGGTCTTACTACGTAGTTCAGGTTGGTCTGGGGCCCACTATAGCTCAGCATAGCCTCAAATTTGAAATCCTTTGGCCTCAGTCCCCAATGCTGATGCTGTGATTCCAGGTGTGTGCCACTATATCTTACTACACATTTAAAAAAACTAAGTAAATACATAAAATAGTCATGATAAAGCAAGCTATAATTTTACACTTAATTCAACAATTTCTAATGAAGTACTGTTTCATTAAGTGCCATTCAATCAGAAGCTTCCAGCTGTCTCTGATGGGCGATATTGTTCTGTACGCTGTGAACATGTGTTGCTCAGATTGGTTGATAAATAAAGCTGTTTGGCCAATGGTGAGGCAGAATAAAGTTAGGTGGGACATTCCAACTAGAGAGAGAGGAAGGAGAGAGGCAGGGCAGAGGAGATGCTGCCAACTGCAGCCAGGAGAAGCAAGATGTAAAGTACCAGTAAGCCACGAGCCATGTGGCAGAGTATAGATTTGTAGAAATGGGTTAATTTAAGATGTAAGAGCTAGCTAGCGAGAAGCCTGAGCCATTAGGCCATATAGTTTAAAAATAATGTAAGCCTCTGTGTGTTTATTTGGGTCTGAGCAGCTGTGGACTGGGCAGGACACAGGAAAACTTTCAGTTACATGCCTCCTTCCTGCTCTGGTGGTACTTTAAATTTTATTTTACGTGTGTGTGTGTGTGTGTGTGTGTGTGTGTGTGTGTGTGTATACAATGTTCCTCCACCACAATAAGGCAACCAGTTCAAGTATCTAGTCCCTCTGCCTTTACTAATTTGGGCTTTTTAAAGTAAGATATTGCTTTGTGTGTGTGTGTGTGTGTGTGTGTGTGTGTGTGTGTGTGTGTGTGTGTAAGAACTTTCCTTAAATTACCTTATGTAGACTCTAAAGTTATGTGGCTAGTATCTCAAATGTGTAGAAAGGTATAAACTTAATGATTTTTTAAAAAATGTCCAATGCTTATCTCAAAACTTTGACCTCAGCAAAAAGTAATCATTCCTTAGAACCCATATATGATTATGGCCACTAGGTGGCAGAATGTCTCAATCATAAACTTGTTTGTGGGACTAGGGTGTGGAGACTGAAGCTGGGTGGGGCCTTGCACACAGGCACCATACACCATTCCCAGCTTGTAGCCGATTATGGACCACCTGCCAAACAACTTTGGAAACTGAATTTATAAAACAAGTGGAGATCACAGCAAATCCCCAGTTAAATATTCTAAAAAGGAACACCTAACATGAACATAAGTAACCATGGGCAGAAAAATTAAACTTCAAATTGAATGTGAAACATCATTATTTTACATTTTCATGCAAGGAAATACTTGTAGATTGGATGCTATGAAAAGCTTCTTTTTTTGATTATTTTCATGCAGCCCCAGCTGGTCTTGAACTCACTCATATAACGGAGGACGACTTTAACCCTCTTTTCCTGCTTCAATCTCTCACATGTGGGATTACAGGCTTGTGTCACCACACTCAGCAAAAAGTTTTAACATATGTAATAATCTTTTAAAATATACACACAGTTCACTTCAGCCTTACCATTTCTTTCTTTTTTCATATCCACTTTGGATGACTCTGTTTAAAAAGAAAATCCACACAGAAACATGATTACCAATATACAGCAGTTTCCTAAATTAGTCAGAAAGAACAAAGTGACAACCTGTTGATACAGAGAGCAGTATGGCATCAGACAATGTGGAGTACAGTTTCTGACAGAGACATGTAAGCATGTTGCATGTACCCAACACCAAGTCAGAGCATGCCTGGCAACTCCGCCTTTCAAGACCTAACCAAAACTTGCAGCTAGGCTAATATGTTGATTTAGCAGTAACATTGCTTAGCAGATTTACTTATTCATATTGTGGAGCTTACCTATTTATTAGCAAGTGGAAATCTGAGAAGACAAGGATGAATGGAAGATTTTTAATTGCCAAAGAGTTTTTCCACACTAAAAAGTGCTTAGAGGAAAACTGGTTACTCACTATATTTAAATCATTCAATTCTGCTTTATATTAACTAGACCCATTCAGTGTTGAACAAAGTTTAAAAACTGAATGGTACCTTGGCTGAACATGACGAAGCGTCTCTGGTTAACGTTGAAGTTGGCGTTACACAGCTGACAGATGATGGAGACCCGGTTGTGCAGGGCCGCGTGGTGGAAAATGGCGTAGCCTGCTTCATCAGAAACATTGATTGTTGAGCTTGAGGTTTTACGGCTGAATGTATGGAAAACAGCAGACAAGCCTCTTTCAACAGCTGACTTCATACCAAATGGGATACTCTAAAAAAATTTTAAAGATCAGTATTAGTTTTAAAAATAGTTTTTATAGAAATAAGTCAAAAGTTTTCTTTAAGGAGAGAGCACAGAATGCATTAAGAGAGTTGCAAGAGTGTGGTTCAATTTTTGCCACAGGGGCCAGGTAAAGAGCTTCTCCCTGGGCAATGTTGAAACTCACAGACCTAGGAGACATTGAGAGCATGGAAATACATTTGGAAAGATTGTTTCCTTTCTTTTAGAGTAGCTTCATCTTTGCAGACAATTTAAGCAATGTGAACAGATATCTTCCTGAAGCACTTTAAATGCAAATGAAGATTACCTGCTTCTCTCTGACTTAAGGACAGCTGAAGAAACTTGAGATATATAGCTAGAGAGAGAGACAGACTTATTCTTCTTTCTCTAGTTCTCAGATGAAGAGGTTAAAAATATTGTGGTGTTCTTTGAGATGTTCTGATAAATACTTTAAATTAGATTAGTTATCAGAGTTTTAAATGTATGGCTTTTTAAATAGATAAATAGGAGGTATATGCCAGCATAGCCTTTGAAGTTGGAGAGCCCAACAGATGGGTTCCAGCAGCTAAGGAGCCAAACAGGATGGGTTCCAGAAACCAAGGCGCCCACCAGATGGGTTCCAGAAACCAAGGCGCCCACCAGATGGGTTCCAG